GGTCAGCAAAAGACAGAAAGACCCCCAAAGAGATGGACTGACACAGTGGCAGCAACAATGGGTTCAAACCTGAGAATTGTGATAATGGCCATAGGACCAGACAATGTTTCAGTCTATTGTTCCTTGGGTCGCTATGAGTCAGAACCAATGGGATGGTACCTAACAGCACTACCAAAAGTGTCTCATGAATACCGAGTCACCAGGGGTGCCCAAGGATAAACACACAGAAAAGTACTGAGGACTCAACAACCAAATGGCACAGACCCCAGACAATCCTATGATTCTTTGAAAAAGAACAGAAGTGTTCTATCACAATTTATTTTTAAAAAACTATGTAATTGCCTTAAAGAAATTACAAACCTTTAACTGTGGATAAATCTTCTGAATCATAGTCAAATTCAGTGCATTTAAGAACTTGGGTCTGTTTAGCGTGATCACTCCTGCACAACCTTTTCTTTCCAATAGAACCTCTTCTGCTGCATCTGTATGTTTGGACATTCCCTGTGTAAACAAAGGAATTTTTTTATGCATTACATTTTGTTACAAGCGAACCTCAAAACATACATAACAATGCAAATGAGAATCTTCTACATAATGTTAGTAGTAAACCCAGCAAGGGACATCTGAAAAGCAAAGGCTTCTAAGATATTTTAGATACTCTAGATGAATAATTCCAAAGCAAATTATACATACCCATGCTATAACTTGATCATCAGGTATCACTGTTCATGTAATACACCATAGTGACTAATATAACATCTGTAAGAAACATGTTTTGAACTACATACCAATTTCATAGGACTCTGTTATACGTACACAACCTTCAAGGCTCATATAGCATTACCATACTTAACACATCCTTTGTTCTTTTGGTTGCTATACTTTCCCGTATTTTTAAGTATTGTTGTTGTTCACTGCCATAAAGTCTACTCCAACTCATGGGGACCCCCTGCGTGTCAGAGTAGAACCATGCTTCCCCAGGGTTTTCAAGGCTATGACATTTGGGAAGCAGATTACCAGGTCTGCTTGAGGTGGGTTTGAGTGTGCAACATTTTGACTAGTCGTGGAGAACTTAGTCATTTGTGCCATCCAGGGACTCCTATCTCAACATATTCACATGGCAACAGTCTGATCATAAAATTTAGTGATCGTGAATATTTCTTTATATGTTTGTTGGCTGCCCGGATCTCTTCCTTGGTGAAGTGTCTGTTCATGTCCTGTGCCCATTTTTTAATTGGGTTATTTGTCTTTTTCTTGTAGAGGTGTTGTTCTTAAGTGCATTCGAGTCAGTTCTGACTCATAGCGACCCTGTACAGGGTTTCTGAGGCTGTAAATCTTTACGGGAGCAGAACACCTCATCTTTCTCCTGCGGAGCGTCTGGTAGTTTCGAACTGCTGGTCTTAAGGTTCACAGCCCGATTCATAACCACTACGCTATT